TTCTAAGTCTGTCGACCCAGCTTATTTTCAGTAGTCGTCTGTATACCCACATCTTAAAGGCTGTCAAGCGTTTAAGCATAGCCTCAGTTAGAGTCCATAGATCTTGTGGTGAATTTTTTATTTGATATCAATCCTAAAGTACAAAAACATATTCTATCGTTTACAAATACTGTCATTTGTCCTTATTGTTTATTCTGGCGTTTCCGTCCAAAAATTTATATCTCCAAAATATATTTGGACGTCTATAAATATTTGTATATTGCTTGATAGTTACTAATTGATCTACTTCTAATTCATGTTGTAATGCACTTTGTTTTAGAGGCGGAAATCATACTGTTATAAATTTGAACGTTTCATAAAATCTATTATAATATCTCTTTCTCTATAGTCTATTTTTGGTATGTAGTTACACTTTATAGTCTTTAACTGAATATGTTGAGGAGTAGAGAAGTGTTTACGTCAAAATGGTCATTCAGAATAATGTCTGTATTTATTATTTTCCATAGATTCTAGTAAAGGTAGCATAAGGCCTTTATTTTGAAAGGGAAGAATTTCAAAATCCTTCTTAAATTCATTCATAAGGTAAATGCAAATGGCAATAAACAATGGGTATAACGAAGCAACAGTTAATAAAATTATAAATAAAAAACTACATAAGAAATCCCTGAAATAGTATTTTCACTACCAGAAAAAAACCCAGTACCTTTTGCTCGATTACATATACATGCAAAATGTCAATAAAAATGGCCAAACTCATAAAAAAGAAAGGAATAACGCTTTTAGAACAAACAACAACTAAAGCAAATATATTAAAAACAAAAAGAGCCAAAATGAAAAGTACTTACAAAGTGTTTATACATACAGAAATGTGGCGACTCTTCAAAAACTTACATCGGCCAAACTGGTACAATTTTTAACAAACGTATAGTAGAACATAAAAAGGCTTTCAATAATAGAAAAATAGATTCTACATATACACTGCACCTTCTAGGTCATAATCATTCATTTAATGACAAGTTTAAAATTCTTCACATCCAAAATACAGGCCTTAAAAATAGATCACTTAAGAAAGGCACTCTGCCGAAACAGCTGTAGTGATAAGATATTATATTAAATTCTGTGGAAGTTTTGAAAACAACATTTTTAGTGTGTTATTGTTATATAAAATGAGTTTCCATTAAGTAACGGTCGAATCCATCATCATTTGTTATTTAACATAGATTGCATATCGTTGTCCACTACTAGCACTGCGTCGTATGAATAACTTAAAATGTTGATCTCATTTTCTTTTATTGTATATACTTTCAATATACAAAATTTTCTTAATATTGTGTCCATGGCTCATCGATAAGTCCCATTCTCAGCCAGCAGTTGAGTTAGTTTATATTTTACCTACGCAGAGATTTGTTTTGCTCTGTACATACATATATTTTATATAGTCCTTATAAGTTTGTGCAGTATTTATCTATAATATATCATTTGTATGGCATCTCTTAATTTGATATAATTAATTTTTAGTTATTCGTCTGAGGACAAAGACGGCATCCGTACAGGACGTACCTTAATAAACTCGTGTTGTTCATCTTCTAGAGAAATGATAATATTAATTTTAATATAATTTTAAAATAATAGTAGTATCATTCGTCATTAGTTTGGAATATTATAGTTAAAGAAAATCTTCTGTAGTATTGTCAAGGCACTAAAATGTCTGGCTTAATTCGTTTAAAATTTCGCCTTGGAAGAGACTTTCCCTATTATGTACTTACCTTCAGTTAGACTTGTTTTAAGGCCTACATTTTAATTTCAATATTTTTATTAAATATTGTTTCTCATGTGTCTCATATGTTTTTCGTGCATATAATGTATATTAGTCAGTTCGTTTTGGTTGACTGAATCCAGAATGTTTATTAAATTACACTTTGTCAATATATTTAAAAAATAAAAATGAATTGTCCTAGCATATTACTCAGGATTGTGTAGATCTTTGTGATATACCGTTTCTCGACTCTGTAACTTTTTGTGATATTTTATGTTTGGTTTAGGTCTAATTATGTATATGTCTCCTCTATACCTAGATCCATTCAGTTGTGGCTGGACAATTGATATATGTCAAAGTTATTATATAAATGTAATATTTTATGAACTGCATTTTATTCGTTGTAAATATTCAACCCCTTCTAAAAAATAAATCAAAGGCATTATATTTACAATTTAAGGCTTTCAAATTTCTTCACTTACTTCTTAAACCCTTATAAATAGAAGAGTTGAAAAATAAACCAAATATAACTATTTGAGAACTTTAAGGTACCAAAAGAAGTTGCCAAGCTTCACTGAAACTAAACAGCTATTATTAGTAGAAACAACAGAGAAACAAAGCCAATTAATATCGAACGAGGTGTAAGATAGAATTATTCACTCTCTTCCACCGTCCTTAACGTATATTTTGAAAATATATTTTGGTATCAAACAGGAATTATCATACAAGTAGGAATAATTAACAATATACGACAATACTGTTATTCTTTCAACTAATCAACGTAGTTGACATAGTATACAGAAAATTAAACAGGTAAGAAACACATTTCAAAAATACAAGCCTTTTTTTTTTCAATAACTAACTAAATTTTAAAACACATGAAAAGTTGGCAAGATGTATGGTCTGTACTTTTATATGAATGTAGAACTTGGAGTTTGTATATCAATACCATGAATAGATTAGAGACATGAAATGTGGTTATATTGAAGAATATTTAAGCTTTGGTTGACTGGAATGCGGTACCGGTACATTGCGATCGTAATAATGCGATGAAAACCGTTAAAGTGGTGAAATATTCAGGGTTCTTTATTGCAGCAAAGATATATATACTCTCAGTAAGCGCCATTTCCGTTACCGTTTTGAGCTGAAAATTAGTGATTATGGACGATCTCGATGTTGCTCTTTTAGTAGTGCTAGATCATGAGGAATTAGGGCAAGAGATTATTAGAAGACGTAAATCTAACCTTTTTAGATGTAGAACTGTAGAGGGTTCATGCCAAACTTTAATTTGTTGCCATCCACATACTAACGAAAAATAATTCAGAAAATATTTTCATTTGACGATGGTAGTATTTGTTCGTTGTTCAATACCATCAAACCGTGTTTCAAATCTATAGACTCCTGAGCAGAATTTATGCCTGCTCTTAAGGTATATATTTCGATTATTACTCACTACATCAAACCCAAAAGTATTACATGTCATGCCTTTATTTAAACAAACTTTGTATTTGATAAAAAATTAAATTAAATCGATTATTGTCGAAAGGAGACAAGCGACATTTTACAAGTTTTGAGAAAAATGCAAGAAACAAGTCTACGCTAGACTAACTTATTTCCGTTTATTTTGTAGTTGGCCAGTTAACAATATCGTTATAAAATGATTGGTGGTTTTCTGATATATATTTTAACACCCATTTAATATGATCTATTTTGGTTTCTCTAATCAGAATATTGCTCTTATATGCCTTATTCGACGGCCATCTTACGATGCCAGCATTAAGCATTTTAAGGTAAAAAGTGTTAACGTTAAAAGGGCCATTAATAAAGGGGGAAGTACTAAGATAGACAGGTTTAAAAGCATCCTACTTACAGTGGTGAAACTGTGAAACCGAAAAATTTGTTTCTAGAGAAACGACATTCCTTTTATAAAAGTTGATATACCAATTCTTAGAATCCAAAATGTCAGAATTTTTTACTTCCTTTACAGTAAATTTTCTACTCACACTTAAGGTAATTATTAATTCGGTATACTTTTGTACAGAAAAAATTCTGTCGAAGAGCTTCAAAAGTTTTTTGACAGTACCCCAAAATCCTTTGTAATTAACATATGAAATGCCTTTTATTCTGCTCTTCTTTATAATATTTTTCTTATATTCGTCATATCTCACACCTCTCTTTCTCTGTTTACCTTTGGTTTGTTCACTGTTCACGTTTTCCACGTTTTCACGTTCATGTTTTTCCATTTTTGTTTTGCACATTAAATACTTTTTCATTTTTGTACAATAAAATGTATTGTAGTTAACCATCCACTGTCTAATATATTGTTTAGTCTTTTCTTACATTCATACTTTATGTCAACTTCAATTGCTCTCAAACTAACATCCTAATTATTATAGACATGTTTGAGTGTGAGATTTGGATTATTCAATCTACATAAAAAATATACTATATAATTTTATATTTCATCAGTTGATTTCCTATAGTGGTGTCAGTTGGACCTTTGGTCAATACTTAGTTTCATACAATTTTGAAAGGTGCAGATCACATAACTTCCCTTTACAAGCTGTCATTTGTCACATGTCATCTCAATATTTCCGCCAGACCGGGAGCCCATTCTGTCTCCGGCTTCTATATAACATGTAGCTTCTCCTTCTTAAAAATTTTAAAGTGTTTGTTTGTCTTTGTGTATTGTATTGTTATGTCCAAATTTACATGTATGACATTCTACTCATGTCGGATAGGCCACAACTGACGAACTAAGTCTATAAACGTTTATCACATAAAAACTTTTTTCAACCATAAACTTGGAGTTTTTTATCCAAGTGAATTAATTTTCCTTTTTATAAAAAAAAAACGTTTCTTGGCTTATTTCAGATGCCCCTGAAGATGATCTATTGATCGGAAGTACTTGGGCAAGATTTAATTAATTACTGTGTTCGATAGTTGCCTTGTATACCATCAAAGTTTAAATATATTTAAAACTATAAAAACTCAGATATCATCTTACTGTATAAAGATATTTATTTTATTCTATAGCACATAGAGCACAAACAATTATATACAATAAAAACAAATATACATAGAGTCAGACATATATAACACGAGTAAGAAGTCTATAAAATACTAATAATATCTAAAAACATGTTTCTTAAATTAGACTCTATTGGTAAACAAGTTTTTAACAAATATTTTGTACTTTTTATTTAAACTTATAGATATAACATAATAACTTGTCTGGTGGGATATTTTAATGATTTTTCCAGTAACAAAAAATAAATCAATGGGAAGGTTAGAGTGTTAAACTCAAATTTTAACAATAAGAAAAAATCAACAACAGGCTTGTCATAAATGTTTAGTTATTATATGCAGAACTAATAGAAATTATACAAAACAAGGTTTAGAGATTCACAAAATCTAAAAATATTTTCGATTTTATATCGGACTTATTAAGTAACTTAAAAGAAAAGTATATCAATGAAAGTACAAGGAAATACAGTAACTATGTTATAAAGCTGACACAGTGGCAATAGGCGATGATGATATATAAACAATTGTATATCAAAATTAACGCCAAGGCTAAGAAATTCAATACGAAATATCACCACAAAAACAATAATAATCTTTCAAAGGAATAAGAGGCACCGTATAATTATACTATAGAACAGCACATAACACATAACAGATTACCAAGAGAAAAGAGAAGAAAACACAGTTGTCCAGAACTGAACTTGTGTACTAAGGGAAGTAGAATAGAATAGATTAGAGAGAATAATAAAATGAGACTTCTCGTGTGGTTACAAACTAAAGAGAGAGAATTTACTTTAAATCCAAAAATTACATGCCCAGTTCTATTTACGGAAAAATTTAAGTAAAATTTTGAAATAATATTTAGTCAAACAGGGGCATTAAAACGTCAAATGAAAAGGTCAATAATGACCTGCTTTCTAATAATAATGTTTATATTTTTTTATTTGAATAAAATATATTAAAATATCCACCAACAGAAATATACTTGGTAACTTATAGTTGATCTTACGACTGGAAGGCCATATATCTATAGATAATATCGATGTAAATATAATTATAATAGAAACACAAATATGAATCGTGATGGTGAGAAATTCTCCTAAAATGTGCTACGTAATATGTTAATGTGTGTCATTCAAAAATATAATATATTCGTTGATCTTAAAGTCTCTTTGATAATAAGTACAGTTTACGGGAACTTTAGGTGGATATGGTTCACATTTCCATTTTAAGGAGACGTCTGTTTGGCACCTGTTGGAGTTTATTCTATTGATTTGAACAGGTAGCATGAGAATATCATCCCAAGGATCTGAAAAAGAAATTATATATAAATTAAATAAGGCATAACACATCAAATTTATGTTATATAAATTTATTTTCTAAACAAACGTTTTAAATATGCGAAATTTATTAATGGTATTGATTTCTCTTTTCTCTCTGAAAATTTCTTTAACCCAGGAGGACACGTGCCTTAGTTCTACCAGGTTTTTCCAAAAATCATCTGGTGGAATTTTTAGAAGACATATTTATTTGCAATCCTATGCTTTATTTTAAGTTAAGAACATGTTTGATTATGCAGTTCAGTGGATCCAAAACTCAGGCACGTATTATTATTATAGTAAAAGCCACAATTAGCGATGCCGCTTATGTCGGCACAGTGGTAGGTGTGTGGTAGTTTGGCGATATATTGAAAAATCAGGACCTTACAAGCTTAGTTTCAAAAAATTGTACCCATTAATTTAACTAAGTTAAATAAGAGAATAAACAAAAAAACAACAAATGAATTCTATAAAATATGCATAAATACATAAAATATTTAATACTCGTAAATACCTATATGCATATATACAAAAAATGCAAGTAGTTTACACTATACGTCGAGATAAATATATAATACATAAAATATACAAAAAGATTATAACTAAAATGTACTGTACGTACAGTACGAAAAAACAAAGGAGCATAAAATCTGAGATATTTCTCGGTAATTAATACTAATTGCAATCCATGTATGAATCCACCCTCACCCTATGGATCATCTCCTATACTAATTATCACTGGTTTAAGATCTTCCTGCAAATTGTCCACCGCAAACATATTTTCATCTAAAGAAAGTAGATCGGATTAAACATAATTATGTGAACCACGTTTTCACATAATTATGCAACTGCTCTTTAGATACGCGTCGGTAACCTTCTTCTATCACAGTTCTACTCTTTTTTTCTTTAAAATTGATGTTGTTTAAACCACACTGACTTCAAACTATCTCAATCGGGTTCAGCTCGCAATGGTAAGGCGGCAGTCTCAAAATCTTAACGCTATAACATGGCATTATATGATGATTTTGATGCCTCTTATGTAGATAGAACCATTAGAAAGATATCTACTGGAATTTCAGAACATTTTTTGAAAAGAACAAACTCTTTAAATTTTGGTAACACTTATTATCCAGTAAACACAATTATAACATCAATACTCGTTCATCTATTTTACATGATATTAGTAGAAAGAAAAACTAATTGGAGTTAGATTTATTAAAAGATTTGGAGATTACAAGAGAATCAAATGAAAAATCTCACTGTCTTATTCTTCTTCTTCTTAACGTGTCCTATCAGGTCCCCTTGACGTTGGCGATTAACATGGCGAAACTGTCTGTGTCTCGAGCTATTCTAAAGAGTTGTTCAGCTTTCTTTATTCCTGTCCATTCTCTGATATTCTTCAACCAAGAGGCATGCTTTCTACCAATTCCTACTGTCCCACTGTCTTATTACTCAATTAATTTAAATTGTACTAAATTTAAACATATTTTTATAACCTTTATTGCAGCTTCACCTCGTGGGGGACCAGCCCGGATGTATAGACTTCCTGCACTGCGTATACCCATTAGGAATTTATTAATTTCATACTTTGATTAACATTACTATTTTATTCTTCAAAAATTTACAAAATTAGCTTGCTCAGGATCAACATTTATAGTTGGCGTTGATTACACTCTTCATATAAGTGCGTAATTTAGATATACCATCTCCACAGTTGTATATTTCAACATCTCCACTGTTGGTCAGTTAGTCTTAAGTAATGCTTTGACATTTTAATTTTATGGTTCTCCCATTGGCTGTGGGTTTAACTAAACTATTTGGATTATACCCCATTTATACACTCTGCTTTAAATTTTGATTTTTAATTTTTAGTATTTTAATTTCATTGTTCGATTTCTTCTTTTCTACAGTATTGATAGTGCTTGGTAGACCCTATTATTGTAATGAACCACATTTCCTGCATTCATACTCTACGTCAACTTCAGTTGCCCTCAAACTAACACCCTAATTAGTATAGACAGGTTTGAGTATGAGATCTGGATGATACAATCTACTTAAAATATTTTATATAACTTCATATTTCATCAGTTGATTTCCTATAGTAGTATCAGTTGGACCTATGGTCAACGCTCAGTTTGACCCATTGTAAAAGAAAACAAGGCTCAAAGAACCGATATAAAGCCTCGGAACCAGACGGAACCTAAGTTCTTTAGCTAAAAACCAAAAAGCGCACATTCTACAAAGCCCAATTTACTACTCGAATGCACTAAAACAATTCAGGGGCCTCATCATGTCCGCCTTTTAAGCCTATTAAAAACACCTTAACAAACGTATCCCTATCTCAAGGTCACTAAGATGTTCTTCCATTTTTCCAACACTATGTCCGACAGTCATCCAAGATTCATCCTAATAAACGACCGTGTATCATTGGGAACGAAAGTTTTTTATCTCACGCAAATACTGATGCCTTCATTTTATAATATCGGACCATTCCATCATGGTTGACGGTGATTAACTGGGCTGTAGAAGCTAGTTATGTTTGCAAGTTAAAGTTTTGGTCTATGGCCATGATTTTAGTTTAAGTAGTATTAATTTTTAAGGCTGCTCTGGTTACTTTGGTAGTAACAGTAGTCTTTTGTGCTATCTGTTATCACCACTGTGTCGCCAATATTTATCTTACATAAGATAAGGACTTAAGGTATGGATATAAGATATGAATATATAGCTTGTTTTTGTATGTTTTAGTGCTCTTAGATAAAGTATTCTATGAATAGAATGAGTATAGGACACATCCTTATCTAACTCCAAGGTTAATATTTTATGTTGTTAGACCGTTCTCCAGTCTTACTGACACTATTTGGTGCCTATACAGGTAGAACACAGTCTGTATGTCATTTTGTTTAGTGCTTTTACGCCATACGTTCGCATTAATAGTGTCTGTCATAGTATAAAGCTTTTACGTAATCTCTGAAGTAAACGTAGACCTGCTCATTTTGATCTTTTTATTTTTGTTAAAGAATCGAATACTGAACAACGCTTCTGTGGTTTAAATGCCGATTCTAAAACCAAATTGTTTTATTGTTATATGGGTGCAACACTTCCAAAATATTCTGCGATATATTATTTTTAGATATAGTATTACGGTAAGACTCAATCCAATTATTAGACCGAACTCGTTGATTTGCTGGCGTTAGACTTTTTTGGAATAAGTCATAATAAAATATGTCGGCAGTTCTCCTACTTGATGTATATAGTTGAAAAGCTCTAAAATTTTAGAGTACGAGTATATTTCATCTTGTTCTAATGCTTTGTCCTTTTTTGTTTTTTTTTGGGGGGGAGGGGCGTAACAATTTCAATAATGATTCGTTGCGTAGCCCAACATATACCGGGTGGTGAATCGTCAACCGGGCCATAGTAAACTCAATGGGAAATTTTAAATTGTTGAATTCCTGCTTCCCTAATTATTTTAGATCAAATGTCATAAACAACTATTTGTAGAGAACTACAATCTGAATTAAAGGCAAATGTTAAAACCTTTCTACGAATTAAAGGTACTTCAAAATTTTGCAAAAATATAATACATTTTTCAGGACACCCCTAAAAGTTAGGCCACACGTAGGGCAAGAATGTATATTATGACTTGTGTGATTTATTATATTGATGTCAGATATTCCACAATATTTGAATTGTCAATTTTTTTATTTTATGATTAAATTATAAACAATGAATTTTACTACACCTACTACTACTACTGAACAATAAATATTACTTTGTGAATAATAAATTAAATTGTTTACAAATCAATAAATATAATGAAATGTACTCAGTTGACGAAAAAAACGCATACTGTTGTATTCAGGCAATAGTGCGGACCTTCATTTTGTCTAAGGTGCGAGCACTACCAGATCTTTATTTAACGTAAGATATTTTAATACACTAAAATTTAATTCCAAGTTATAAAATAATTCAATAAATTCCAATACAGTATTACTGTGATACTTATTCCTAAAAATAAATTATGATAATTTCTAAACATAAAACTATAACAAATGTTGTAATAAAACATGAATAAAACCTTTTTATTATTGCCCGTTTCGTCTCATCTGAGTACATTTTTTAATCAACTTAATTTTTTTTAAACAGTAGATCACAAAAAAAAATGTTGGCCATTTATATCATAGATAAATATATTACACTTAATTTAAATATTGTCAAATATCCGAAACATCAGTATGAAAAAAGGCAACACGTAATACACATTTTTCACGGCGTCTGGCCTAACTTTTAGGGGTGGCCTGAAAAATGTATTATATTTTTGCAAAATTTTGGAATACGTTTAAATCTTATTTATATAACAATTTTAACATTTGTTTTCGATACATATTTGAGTCGTCTACAAATAGTTTGCTATGACTTTTGGTGTAAAATAATTAGGGAAGCAGGAATTCAGTAATTTAGAATTTCTCATTGAGTTTCCTATGACCCGTTCGACGATTCGCCACCCTGTATATTGTTAGAGGAAAATCAAAAAATGGTAGAAACTTAAACAATAAAGTGCAATTAATAATATTAAGTCTTACCATAAGGCATGCAACGACAACTCCAGCGGTGCCAATAACAACAGCATGTGCCTTGACATATTCTTTGGTAACATCAAGACAACCTCTTTCGTAAATAGTGAATTCATTGTTTCCAATGACACTATGACAAGGTACTCGATTACCATTACTTGTCGTTTTGCAACACGAGGTAGGAATATTATTTTGCCAATCCCTGTAGCCGTAGATTCCACAGCATTTTAATCTAGAATAAAAAAAAATAAATTTAGTTATATCATAAGATATTTTAGAGACACTTGAGATAGGCCAATTATTCTAAAATATTAAGAACAATTCTGGTTATACCGGAAGTTGACTGAAACTTCCTTATTTTTATTTTTACTGCTAAATATCCCCTCGTATCTTTTGAATGGTTATACTTAGTGAAATTTAGAGGGAAATAATCAACAGACATAGGCTCCTTAAATAGTCATAATGACGTAATAGTGAAAAATGACGTTACAGCGCCACTGTGACAAATAATTTTAAATAGGACCTTATGGCAAGTGATACCTCGTTTGAAAGCTATTGAAAATACCTATTCAATCATACTAATTTTATTTCAGTTTAAGCTCATTTTGATGAATAAATTAAGTAAATACTAAAATTGTAGTTTTGCATTTAATTAATAAATATTGAAACCTCCGTCTCTGGTTACTTGTTAAAAATTTGACGTTTTTAATTCTATCATTGGTTTTACGTCAACGTCAACTTTTTTGACAATTAACCAGAGGCGAACGTTACAATATTTATTAGTTATATGCGAAACTACAATTATTTTAATATATCTATTCAGTCATACTAATTTTGTTTGAATTTAAGATGATTTTGACAAATACAAAATAAATGCGCTAAAAATTCTAGTTTGGCATTTAATTAATAAAAATTATATCGCCCGCCTTTGGTTATTTATCAAAAAAGTTAACATTTATCAATTTTCTAGTTGTTTTTAGTTTGCAAAAGCATTTATAGCTCAATATTTAGTTTTTGTTTCTGTTTAGTTAATTCTTCAGTTATTTTTAGTTTGCAAACGCGTTTATACCTAGTTTCTGTTTCTACGTAGTTTAGACAATTCAAGTTTAGTCAAATTGTTCTTAGTTATTATTTAGTTCAATTATTGTTTATTGAAACGTTTACTTGTATTTTTTCAAAAGCAGAATGGCACGGACTGTAGCCGACAAAGTAACAGCTGTGTTAATAATTGGTGAATGTGAAATAATTTCGATACAGCATAACGTTTTTGATGATAGGTTTCCCGATCGCCCTACATCGAGTGCTTATTTGAGAAAGCTTTTTCGAAAGATTAAATAAACGGGTAGTGTTTAAGATGTCAAACGATCTAGTCGACCAACAATTAGTATAACAAAAAAAATTACATAACTTCAGAAATTAGTGAACCCTACTTTTTCTACAACCCAAATTGGATCTATCTCGGTCACCGGACCTTACACCTAAAGATTTTTTTCTGTGGGGATATTTGAAATCTAAAGTTCATGCTACAGCACCTGACATTAATAACGTTTTAAAAGAACTAATTGTTTGTTAAATAATGTAGAGCAATTTTCACTGGCACATTTGAACGAGTGGCAAGAGTTTAGAAATAGTATGCATTATTATGAGGAGCACATTTGGACACTGGAAGGGTTTTAAAATATTTATTAATTAAATGAGAAACTACAGTTTTAGTATTCATTTAATTATTTCATTAAAATGAGCTTAAACTTAAACAAAATTATTATGTGAGTGAATACGTAATACCTTTCAAACGAGGTATCACGTGCCATACGGTTCCATTTAAAATTATGTCAGAGTAGCGCTGTACCTTCTGCGCTGAACTCTTAAACTTTCTACTAAAATTACTGAATACGTATTTTCAATAACTTTCAAACGAGTTATCACTTGCCATAAGGTTCCATTTAAAATTATCTGTCACAGTAACGCTGTAAGTTCATCTGTTACTATTACGCCACCTGTTATGACTAGTTCAGAAGCCTACGTCTGTTTATTACCTCTCTTCAAATTTCACTATCATAACAATAATTAATCAAAAGACTGATATTTTTTGTACACACTTATGACAAGTCGAAAGAAAATGCAAAAAAGTATTTTTGAAGTGTGTATATTTTATTATATTATTTTAAAATATACACACTTCAAAAATACTTTTTTGCATTTTCTTTCGACATAACAATAATTGTTTAAAAGATACGGGGTGGAACGGACTTTTAAGAAGCACTACATATATATATATATATATATATATATATATATATATATATATATATATATAATATATATATATATATATATATATATATATATATATATATATATATGTATATATATATAATAATAATAATAATAATAATAACTTTTATTTCCATGAAATATACAATTAATAATATTACAATAAAATAATTAAATGACAATAAATTATGTACAGTTTAAATAATATGGGTCCTAGTACAGTCCCTTGTGGTATACCAAAATTTATGCTTTTGGCACTACTCAATTTCCCTTCTAGTCGCACTCTTTGATATCGATTTTTTAAGTAGCTTTCCATTAAGTTAAATGTGTTTCCTCTTATACCAATGTCTGCTAAGCTGTAAGTGACTAACCGTATCGAACACCTTTGCCAGGTCTAGGAATACACAAGCTGTTGGTGTACTGCTGTCAACTATGTTGTAAATTTTATTAGATAGGTACTATATTGCATTTTCCGCGGATACTCCCTCCCTAAAACCATATTGTTTGTTTGAAATTAACTTATATTTTTCTAAGTAATACTAGTTGATATTTTATAGCCTTTTCCAATGTCTTGCAAACTGAAGTGATTAGTGAGATTGGTCTGCAATTATTTGTTAATTTTGGATCGCCTTTCTTATGAATGAAAATCGCCACTGTTTGCTCAAGTCATTTGCCATTTGCCGCTAGAAAATACATTATTTAATAAATAAGTAATGGGACCAGTTAGTATTGGCGATAGTTCTTTAAGTACTTCAGATTTAATACCATCTATTCCTGGAGCTTTGTTCGATTTTAATGAGGCTATATTGCTTCTCCCAATACACCACCATGTTTTAATTATCAGATTCCACCATTTTAAAATATTTTTCTTCTCAATAGCATTTATAAATCGGCAAATATTCTTCTTTCTTTATTGCTTTCTTGTTTATTCTTCTTTTTAATAATATTTTTTTTCTCTTACAATCTCCAATCACCATATAAATAACATAATTTTTAATCTCTTCTAATCTCCATATACATAATATAATTTTTAATCTCCAACCAATACTCTCTTAATACTATTTTTTTATTATCCATGTAGTATACTTTTCAATACTATAAAACTTTCATACTAAATCAATGATAACTGACTACTGTCTTGAATACTGCTATCCTAATACTGACCATTGACTACTGTATACTCTCCACTGTATACTCCCTTTTCTCCTCCAAATCACAGAGTATTTATATCATTTGAATGTTCACGAATATTCTTAAAATAAAACATATTTGAATCCTTCTATTTCATAGATATTTGAATCTTCGCGAATATTCTACTACGAAAATAAGGTTAAATTCTTTCTATTGACGTCTTATTTTAAAGGTCCAGATAATTCTTTGCTTTTCTATCGAGAATTTTATGAAAATTTAGGCTTTCAGATCAGAACGTAAATTTATATGTAAATTAAACATCTTAAATTAATACTATTTTAAATCCATAATTATTTCAAATATCTGCTTTGGTAAAATTCATTCTTATTTACAAAAGTCATAATAATCATACTTACTTCAGTGTATATTTGGTTGCCTATAAATATGGCGCACTTAAATATATTTATAATATCATAATTATTAAAATAATCAAATAAATTGAAAAATAAAAACTTTTTAAACTTATTATTATGCTAATTTCTTAAGAATACCCTCATATAAATACTTTTTATAATACTCTCTAATATATAACTTATAAATTATTTCTTTAATCACTATTTAAGTTCATTTTAGATTACCTTCGTTTCTCCCATATTTAATATTATCTCAATATATTATATATATATATATATATATATATATATATATATATATATAAATATAATATAATATATATATTATATAACACAGGCCATAAAATAAACTTCGAAAGTTGCAAACAAATAGCCAACATTGAACACTTCAAAACAAGAACCATCAGAGAATCTATAGAAATTGAAAAAGAAGGTCTTCTTAACAAACGTGACGACTCCTTAAATCTGCCCCAAGCTTGGAAGTCCATAATCTCGAGACGCCAACATCAAACTGACTGCCTGAGCTTCGCTCCCCAGGGGGCGGGGCCTAGCGGCGTAACGAATACGGCCAATCAGCGACGATCCGCTCGAACAGCGCACGATATAAAAGAAGTGAGGACTGAGCGCAGCTCATTCAGTTACCGACTACGAGACCGAAGACAACGCACAGAAGATGCCAAGTGAGACCTTGGCGAAACGTCTGCAATTAAAAAATGACCAACGGATATTTTCCCGGAATAATTGTTCAACATATATATATATATATATATATATATATATATATATATATATATATATATATATATATATATATAATATATATATATATATATATATATATATATATATATATATATATATATATATACTGAACCCTTAAACTTCGTACCGCCTACTCAAAATTTAATAATAAATGTCTGAAAAGTTATCAGAAAAAAAGAAAACAAAACAGCGAAACATGGTAACTCTAAATGAATTCCAAACGCACAGAAAATTGTAAACGTTTAAAATCAAATGGTATGTTCGTTGGAATCATGGATATACGCAGGATCAAGACATCGACTCCTTCGATAACTCTCTAGAATAGTTGATTACTTCTTCTTGATTTATATTTGTGTCAACTGATTTGAACAAAAACAATTTTCCCTGAACAAAAATTCAGAACAGTCGCATTCAGATCATCGACATCTGTACTTTTTGCTGTAAATATTGCCCGTCGAGTTACGGTTTTTGAACTAGTGAGCTATGCCCGGATAATCACACTGAAAAATCTCGGTCCAGCAAATTAACAAAATTTACTTGAGAACTACACTAAGAAAGTAAAATGATAATTGTATACGGCCACAGGCCAATGAAGGAAATACTGACTATTAGTTTTAATAAAAATTATTTTCAAGTATAATAATTTATTTTTAAATATAAGTGGTAGGTACTTTGTAAGTTTTTTAGTCGAAGAGATGAAATCATTTTTTAACATATCGTTTATCTGGCTTTGGGATTTATTTAGTTTTGATGACAATTGAAGCAAAATGATGTTTAACTTACCTAGTTTGAGTTTCGTCCCAGGCATTTGTTATTTCTTTCATTTGTCCATAATCGCGAAGAGAACTTTCCATTCCAAGTCTAATAGTCTGATCAATCTTTCCACGGAAAACGTATCCCAAAATTCCTCCAACAAGCATCGTGACAAATATTAGGAAAATGATGATAAAGTACTAAAAAAAATATTACATAAAATATAAAAGTTACTTTCGATGCAAAGCTGTAAGGTTATTGTTTTTATTATTAAACAGAAGGCAAGTTCACTAAATGTTAATTAAATAAACAGAAAGAAATGAGTATTGAGGGATCCGACATATTTTTAACTTACCAAGAAAAGAAAAGACCTGGTATTTAGACCTGTAACCTCATACCATCTTATCGGTTTGGTTTTAGAGAAATTTATTTGAACTTGGATCAAACAGATAGAATAACAATAATAATAATATCAGATGGTGTTTGTATTATCGTGTATAAATACCTTGGACAGACAAAATAACAAATAGTGTAGTTCTTCGAAGGATGAACAAAGAACAGGAGCTGTTGATCACCATCAAGAGAAGAAAGCTGGAATATCTTAGTCATGTGATGAGAGGGCAAAAGTACCGATTGCTCCAGTTAATTATCCAAGAAAAGATTCAGGGCAAACTAAGCGTGGGGAGACGACGTATATCTTGGCTGCGCAATTTAAGAGACTGGTTCCAGTGCACCTGACCAATTATTTAAAGTAACAGCTTCAAAGATAAGAATAGCAATGATGACTGCCAAACTCCGTAGCGGAGAGGGCTCCGTAGCAATGATGACTGCCAAGCTCCGTAGCACTTGAAGAAGAAGAGTATTTGTAACGGAGAGATCCTTTCGGATTGTTCCGGCTCCATTTGCATATTTAACTTTGTTTCTGGTAACTAGTGTCGATGCTCAGTAGCCTTATTCTTAGTTTTTTTCCTGAAATATCCTTGTATTTTATTATTTCCTTATAATTTTTTGGGTTTTCCTTACACCCTTTTTTTCTTCAGGCTTTCTTTTATTTTTATTCTTAAGTATGTAAACTCGTTTACATTTTAAATATTTTATTAAATATATTTATATTTACACAGTAAGATACCTCTTTAACAGTGATCTTTGTAAGGGCTGCTGCCACAGTCATTTCTTCATACAATCAAGTCAACTACACTTCGAGAAGCCTTCGACGATAGTTTAGTTTAATATCCTTTAAAACTTCTTGGTCCAGAGGTAGAATGAGAGGTGTGACGTTTGGTGGCAAGAAAACAGCTTTAATGTCAGCGCTAGATATCGAACGCGCTCAAGTAGGCCTCAAAAACGCAAAAGAACTTGCCAAAAAACCAATATTTAAAAATTTGGTGATCCATCCACGCACTACATTGATTCGTGTACATGGTGGGTAGGCAGTTTACTTAAACATTTTTAAAAGCTCTTAGATTTTTCAATTTTACAATAATTCCTTAATTTTAAGGATACAGAAGACTTGTTATACATCAAAAGAGTTACTCGTTCTTTGCTTTTTTGTATCTTAGGCGCAGTTTTTTCACTTTGGGCTGCCAGTGTTTTGATTGAAAGTAGTCTGAAATTTGGACCCATTTCGTCACAACTGAAGATTTCGTCTGACGTGAGGCCACGCTTTAAAATGAGATTTTTTAACTTTAAATTAAATGGCTCAATTTTAGATAAATCGACGATGAAAAGTTTTTTACCCAAAATGTTTAGTTGTCGGATGCCATACCTATTCTTCCATCTGTCGAGCCAATCATCACTTGTAGTTAAATTTTGCTTGTCATCCTTAAACCATTTGTGAAACTCGACAGCCTTAGCTTGAAGCATGGGGCTACTAATTGGACTTGCCAACCCTCAAAGATTAAAAACCATAAAAATAAGGCTTTATAAGTCTCTTCGTATTACAGTCACTTCTCCAACACCTAGGCCAGCAGCAACCATCTTTACTGACTCACCTTTATCCAAGCGTTTTATAGCACTTCATTTGTTTATAAAGAATCCACAACTCTTTTACATTTTAAACTCATATTGCACTTCAAGTTACGTAGAAACTATATAAAGGGAAAACAAGAATGAACTTGTAGGAGCATAGAGTGCGACAAACCGAACAGCTAGCTGTGATGACTGAAACTGTTGGATGGGGGAGTGGGTGGGGAGGCGGCCAGTAAAAATTTAGTGGCTAGAACAATAACATTCTCTAGTGACTCATCTCTTTGGCGTAGCAACAGCTAGGGTACACGCTCTCATTTGATCTCGCTCTCCAAGCTAATTTATTATATATTTTTTGTTCTTTTCAATTACTCACTCGGTTAATCGGGACTCGGATAATCGCGAGTCTACTGTACAAATAACTTTTACTATTTTTGTTGTGTACTTCTCCTAATCATATATTTTGTGGAGGCACTAAAACTGCTTTTTTGTGTTACCTTTTTTGTGTTCTGTTACCTTTTTTTATATAGCCCTTTTTCTATCCGAATTGTCGAATAAAGGCCTCTTCCATTTCTCGCCATTCATCCCTGTTGTGTGCTAGGCGTTTCCACATTGGTCCTGCGACTCTTTTGATATCGTCACTCCAGCGCATTTGAGGTCTTTCTCTTGGTCTTTTCGCATCGTACGGTCGCCAGTTTCTGACTTCTTTGTTTCATCTACCATCTTCGAGACGTTCGTTGTGTCCAGCCCATTTCCATTTTAATTTAGCTGCTTGTTTCGCGGCGTCCTTTATTTTTGTTTTGTTCCGGATTGCTTGGTTCGTTTGCCGATCTATTAGTGAGATACCAAGCATCTGTCGTTCCATGGCTCGCTGAGTTTTCGACTCTTGTCCATGTTCTTTTTTGTGAATGTCCAGGTTTGAGCTCCGTAAGTGAGAACGGGAAGGATACAAGAATCGAACACTTTGGTTCGAAGGTTTTGGGGTATCTATTTGTCTTTCAGTCTTGTTCAGAAGTTGCCTTGGTTAACGTAAAAAAAATATTAGTTAAAGCCTAGGAGCACGATATAGATATCTACCAAATCTTTGAAGATATTCGACAAGCCTATAATAACATAAACATAGATAATATTACTTAATTATGCAAGAATTTAATACATAAATTAAATATACTTAATTATATTCACACAGAAGCGCAAATACAAGTTTAAATCGATTGACTGACCCCTTCCAGATAACAAAGGAGCTGAAAAAAGGAGATGGGCGGCTACGACTCTGATTACCATATTATGTGTTGCAGTTTTGCAACTGTATATAAATGAAAATTTTTAAAATAAAAATTTAAAAGAAGAAGGCTAGGGGGAAATCGAAAGAGGTATGGCCATATTGAGGGAAATATGCAAAGATAAAATGAAAATTCTGCCTTCTGTATTTTCAAAAGAGAAATCAAAACAAAAAAAAGCAGTCTGACTGGCATAGGTAGGTCACTGGAGCGTTATTAAGTGGTACAAAATAAAGCACAGCAGGTGACCAAGCAAGGAGGGTTTCTATAGTAGTCGAGAAGATAAAATAAAATGTAATGCTTCACTAGCAAATATTGGTGACATGTTCACTCAAAGGTTCGTTGAAAACTGTGGAGCTTAGGAGGATGAGGCGTTTTTCATGTAGGGGAGCGCATGTTGCATCCATTAAAGCAGTTGCAGAACCGCATGGCGTGAGAAATTCGCGAACATAGTGGATACCTACCTTTAAAGCAATATTTTATTTATCTAGGATTATACCACAAGTGTATACTAAAAACTGCATTTTAAATGTGTTTTTTAGCGTGCCGAATTCCACTTTGGAATCGTTTTCAAAAATATTTTTTAAAAATGAGTTACTTTAGCCTATCCTAACTGATATGTAACTTACTTGGCCTGGATTTTGTAGGCAAATAGTAATGATGCTTTGGGTTGAATATTGAGGATGCTATCAAATTCTGATTTTTGTGTGTCTTTATGTATTATTTGTTTATGTGATATGTATATGTGTAAATGATAGTTCTGGCCTTCGATTATTCTATTATTGTTGGAATATTCTTCTTGTTGACTTTTTCTTTTAGTTATGACAACCAGAGCTTACTACACTCTGTTGATGGTTTTGCTACACATTTTCTTCCTTAAGTATGATGAAGGCTGCTTTTTTTAATTTTTCACATTTTTCTGTCTTTTTCTTTTATGACTAGTGATAAATCTTTCCATTGTACTCTATACTCTGTTTTTGATGTATGATTCATGCTCGTTTATCCTGATACTTAATGGCATTGCTGTTTCTCCTACATAAAAATTTAAAATGTAATGACTATCTGCTTTCTTTTCTTTTTTTATTTTCAATATAATTTGTTCTACTTTCTATACTATTTTATTTTTATTCTTAGAAGTTTCGGTTTTGTATTGCTAGTATTGTTAGATTATATTTAAAAATTAAGCAATTATTGCTTCCTTCTATTATCTGAAATATTTTATTTTTGTTAATTGTTTCTTTGGTTTAGAATCTACGCAGATTGTTAATAATATATTGTTATATTCATAGAAAGTAGTTTTTTATTTCCTTTAGTTCACAAATTTGGCCCTTAACTCAGCTCTTACTTCTAAAACCTGCTTGTTTTTCTGCGATAGTTCTCTGCGATATTGCATTTTTTTAACTTATTAGCACCTATGTATATCGGCAATATGGTATAGATTTTTTTAAAACGTGTGACGCATTCGTAGGTAATTTAACTGGAATTGTCTCCAATTATTATGCGTGGGTGATTGCTTAACACATATACCTACAATTTTGTTGTCGGACATCAAAGTTAAAGCCATAAATTATCTAAAAATATTCACGGGAAGTTAAACCAACAAAAACGTAATTTTCATAACTAAACCAAAATAAGTGTTTTCGGAGAAACTTATTAAAGAAGCAAAAACTTTTTCTATAAAAAAGATACTCTAATTATACGATATAAGGAAAACAGTATACCATTATATGTATATATTAAATATATAAAATGTTCAATATGGTATATAAAATGCCCAATACTTTACGTTGAACCAATATTTACAGTGAAACACATACTCGAAACAATTCTTGATAGTTAAGCACATTTATGACCGAAAGTTAAGGACATAAGCAACTTATTGGATGACATAAAAATGACATAAAAAAGTTAGATAATGGATATTAGCTGCTAGAGCTAATACGTCATAAGCTAAAATAGCATAAACTTTAAGACAACAAGAATTATCTCAAGCAACTAAGCAGCTTACATACTGTGGCTAGTTACTTATATCTCCTCATGGTAACTTTTGGCAATTGAAGCAAATATTTGTCAATGTTTCCAAAACTAAGTTTTACAAGGCCCTATTGGAATCAAGTTTCTCAAACCTAAAATCTCATGCTAAAATATTAATAATTGAGATGTTTGCTTCTTCCTACATCATGAACAGATGTTTTCTACTAAGAAGACTTGCAAAAATAGCATTAAAGAACGATTAATTAACGAGTACTTAGTTTACTCCTGCGAATAACCTGAACCCAGTTGCTGCCACATTATGAATCACTTTTAGAAGCTTAGTTTCATATGTCACATACACCTTCATACACATAAGATACTTGTGATGTAAAATTGAAATATAAAGTTTATCACTAATACAAACTTGTTTTATTAATTTTTTTTCGGCCAGCCTCGAGAATGTTGTTATTTTATGTGGCCCTCTACTTAAATAATTTGACTATGTGAGCACTAGAAAGTCTGGGTAAACTTAAATATAGTTTAAAGACCAAATATTCAAAAAAACTGCAAAAAATGATAGCATATCCACTACAACAAAATATAAACGATGTCTTACTGATGTCACTTGGAGTATAATTAAATGCATTAAAGAACACAAAATTGTATCGGGTACAGATTATAAATATATACAAAGACAAAGAAGTTTACATTTTCTAAATATGTACAGAAATTAAAGAACACAATAATTAGCAATTTAGCCAGTTAGCCACTTTAATAAATTTCCTCACCAGAAAACTTATTATGCAATACTATAGGCTCTCACAGATGATGAGGTTCTATTTGAAAGTATATTACCAAATAACTATCACATAGTGAGCTTTGTACTACTTTCAGAAGTAAAATATGTATCATCTCGTTGATGAATAACAAATCTAGTATTGATGCTATATGAGCCGTACGATTTAGTAGCAGTACTAACAAATCGTTAGATGACAAAGGAATACGGGTTACCCACTCCATAGTGTCGCTAAATGGAATATGGTAAATAAAATAATAAATGACTTTAATAAATCAAGGTGTAAATTAATTACTATTAAACTGGGAATAAGCCACAATTAAAGGTTAAAATAAGTTTACTTACGTTTCAATTTCCACTTCGGAAATCGTTCTCAAAATACAAACAGTATTTTGTTTACATGTTGTTGTAATACAAACAAAAAACAAAATTTGTTTAATTTACTGTTTGTATTTTGAGAACGATTTTCGAAGTGGAAATTGAAACGTCCATAAACGTATTTTAACCTTTAATTGAAGCTTATTCCAGTTAAAGAGTAATTAATGTAAAATGCCACAAGAAAATAGCTTCAGAACAATATTAAATCAAGGTGTACTTGAATCTATATTCAATTACAAAAAAAGAAGCTACTAAAAGGTACGAGAACTATCTTGCTATATATCCATAAAGATAGAATAAAAGCTAATCTATATGCACTTAAGAAAACTGAACCTGCAAAAACGTTAAAGGGTCGAAACAGTTTAAGTTACCAATGATAATACATTTCGTGGACTATAAAAAGTCATTTAATTACGTTAATTTTTAAAAATTTATGTTGAAAGGGAAATTAGACAATGGTGCCGTCGTAAACTTTTTAATCCATATCGTGAATCTGTCCTGAAGAAGTTGCTAGAAGGGTCTCACTCTCTTGTCGTTTCTCCGTTACTGAGGATCGTGATTTCTTCCTAAATTCCTAACAATTTTTCTTCATTAGTCTCTATCTTCAGTTGCTCTGAGAGCTTCGCAGAATGAGTTTCCAGCTGAATTTTTAGTTTTGTCGGACCATCTAGTTGGGGATCGTCGTCTTAATTTTCTTTTCGGAACGTTTTCGGAAACAATTAATCTCTCCATACTATCGTCACCTCTGCGAACCACGTGACCAAAAGTTCCAACCGAACAGAGTCCAAGTCTCTATATTGTATAGAAATATTGAGAATACAAGGGCATTCACCAGTCTCATCTTATTATTTTAAGAGATCCGTCTTTCTAAATTTTGGTTAGGCGACTTACCGCATTTTTTGCCCTACCAGTACGTCTCCGAACTTTTGCTTCATAGTTACCGTCGTTAATTATACTAGATCCGAAATAGACAATCCACTATCTGATGTTTCTGTAACATTCTAGTCAGTTTAATAGTGTGGAATCTGTCGACTACCCTATAAAGGGGGGCCAGGTGAAGATATAACTTTAAATTTGCTAAGATCACTACAAGAGCAAGAAATTCAGGATCTTCTTCAGAGAGTAGGATCCAAAAATAAAAAAGTCAGCATAAAAATTAATCAAAGTAAGACAAAGATATTGGTAATAGACAGATTTTAAATCCTGCAAGTAACATAATACTCTAATTATTACCAATACTTGCCACGATAAAGTTCGAAGGTAAATCGCTATGGCCAAAAATGCAATTGTAGATATCAAAAGGTAGATTTATCTTCTAAGCAACGAAATTGCGACTAATTAAAGTCTTGTTAATATTTCTATACAATGCCGAAACTTAGATTTTTCAGTCACTAAAGCACCAGAAGATCGATGCATTTAAGAAGCGGTGTTAGAGAAAAACTCTCCGAACTCCGAACATACTTAATAGTAAAATTATTATGTCTACAATTTGTTCACAGAGAGCTCTTTAGTTCTGTGGGCTTGTGATCAGAAAGAATTAAAACAGTTTAGAAATTCTGGATTTCCGAAAACGTTCTAGAAAGGAGATTAAGGGAACGGTCACCGACTCAGTAGACTGACCACGTCCGGAATTCAATGCGCCATTTACTCCGCGAAAAAATTTAGTACAGTTGAAGATATTGAAGCATCTTATATTTAGTACCTGTGCTTCCCCGAATTAATTTAAGTGTCCTGTGTAATACTGTGTTCTATCAGGCACAGCTCAACGAGTATCCTCCTGCGTTTTATTATTATAAGATACCTATTGTGAACGCGCACCCCTCGGTGTTTGAAAGATTGACTTAATGTATAAGAAAAATTCTTTATAAAAGGTATAAAAAGGTATAAAAGGTATAAAAGGTAAGAAAAAAAGTTTTTTTTATATACCTGTTATAAAGGATTTTACACAATTTTTTGTGATATATGGTATACAGCCAGCTACAGGAACTTAGTTTCCTAGTGGAATTTTAAATTTAAACATTAAGTTAAATTATATTGTTACCTAAACTACTACTAAGGTATAAATTGTGAAAAAAATGTACTTACTATAACCAGCATACACCGAACTTCTTTGACTGATCCCCAACATCCTAAGCATGATATAAACGTTACTAAAATGCCCGTGGCTAGTAAAATATAGGCTGCTCCTGCATACAAGTTCGTTCCCAATAAGTCATTTGCAAATGATTTGTCGACAATGGTCCAAATTCCTATTGCGACAACAATAACACCACCCAACTAAAAAAGTTAAATAATTATTCTTAAACTATTAGCAAACCACATGGTCGCTTAAATAAATAAGCACTGAGATCTTGGAAATGTTTATTTCCAAATATTAAAGGAAGATTAAACGTAATAAAAAATTGGTTTTCTTAATATTGTAAGTTTTTGTTTTTACTATAATTGTAGAGTTTTGAAAATAAGTACAGCTATTGCCCACCAAGACTCTTCTAACACAGTTCAATCAGATATAACTTTAACTATGTTTGTAGTTTTTGGTTTAAAGTAAAAGTAATTTTAGGCATATGCGGTAATCGCTGCATTGTCTTTTTTTTTTGGTTTTTTTTTAGGGAGATAAATAAAAATCGATGTTAACCACTCTGACTGATTATTGTGCTTAAGCACATCAATGTGCTTCTCATCAAGAATTTTTGGATTTCTATAGGAAGCATCTCAAAACCAGTGCTTTTCCAACTCTTCCTTTTTTTTATTCCGTGTAATATTTCTTCTTTTGTAATAAGTATATGGACTTATTTCTTCCGACATAATTTCTCCAGATCTCCTCTTTTATCATCGAACAATTCGTCGATATATTCTACCCATCTTAGTACTTTCTCGTCCGTATGTGTTATAGTATTCCTGTGTCTATCCAAAATTGCAAGAGTGAGATTTTGTTTTCTTAGTCCTGCCAGTTCTTTAACTTTCTTGCGTAGGTTAATCAGATCATATTTGTTTTGAAGGTCTTCAATCTCTTGGCATTGACCTTCAAAGTATTTTTCTTTTGCCAACTATATCATCTTGCTAATCTCGTGGTTTATCTCTCTGTATTTATTGTTGTCCTTGTTTTTAAATTGTCTCCGTTGTTGCATCATATTAAGTATGTCGTCATTCATCCATTCTTCTTCTCTCCTTGGGGAAGTCTTTACTATTTCTTTACAGGGTTCCAGTAGACAATGTTTTAGTCCATCCCAGTACTCGTCACCCAGCTCATCACCACAAACTGAATGCAAGAAGCTCAAGATTGAAATAGATGGAAAATTTTACGGGAGGCCTACGTTCAGCAGTGGACAAATATAGGCTAGTTTATGATGATCATGATAAGTAGTCGTTAATATCATTGGTGTTTGTGTTCAATTTGTTGCAGTTCACATGCAGTCCATGTTGAAGGCAATCTTTTACTTTAGGTGCTCTACCACCTACCAATTCTTTCGCCCAGAAACTTTGATTAGCAAGTGTGGGATTGCTTATACTGGCAATCGGTCAGTGAAATTTTCGCCATATCTGGCTACCCTCACTTAGTTTAGCCTGCAGACCAATGCATTCGCCCGGGGTGTGGCACGTGGAGCCATAAGTGAGAGTTAGGTGTCTTATGAGGACCAGTTATCAAGAACCATCTCCCGTCTATGACGCTCGATGTGGTCGTTCCGATAAAAGGTCAAAAGGTGCTACCTCTATAACACAACCCTACACACTCGGAACATACACTAGGCGTCGTCAGACTGGTTGCAGCCAGTCCAAGACTAAAACACGTATTATGGATTTTACTACCTTTTTATATATTTGCCTTTATATTAGCGTTGCCAGTTTTGCCAATAATATTTTTCATTATCTATGGTTTTACTAGTATTAGCATTTTTTCATATACTTATATAAATAAATAAATAATATATATATATATATATATATATATATATATATATAAATATATATATACATATATATATATATATATATATATATATATTATATATATATATATATATATATATATATATATGTATATAATACAATTTTTTATTTCAAATCGATTAAATATCTATGTAAACTCTAGTGACGTGTTTCTTTTCAGCATCACGTGCCATATTAAAAATTGTCAGCATTCATTATAATTACAGCAAGCTAAGCTATTTAAATACTTTATTGTGTGTGTACGAGCTATTGTTCTAACAATTTTTAATGTAATAGGAAAAACCATATGTATGTATAATTCAAGCGACAACGTCGCGGTGTGTTAATTTTTCAATCGATTTGGTTTGGTGGTTGACCAACCGGGACCAATTTGGAAATCCATTAGCGACACTGTTGAAGTAGTAATAATTATTATGTATAGGATGTGATAAGTAGTAAACATCGTTTTAAAAACAAATTTTTACTATTTTATCCAAAGAGTAGTCGATAAATATTACGTTTTTCAAAGATCCTTCTTCTTGAAATGATTTGCTTTTAAATATTTTCCATAAATATTATTTTACTAAAAAAACGTACCAAAGCTCACACTTTTTAATAATTTTCATTATCATTAGTTCCATCGTAGCTTTCTAAATTAGCGCTGAGATGATTTTCCTAACCACTATCATATAATATGTGTTTAAATGCAAATCTGTGCTAGGTTTTGTACCTCGTTTTTAAACTATATTGCTTTCGAAATATAGCGATATCTTTAATCTTTTTAAGGTGAGGTTTATCTGGAAACTGTTAAGTATCTTTACTATTTTCTTTTGTTGTGCTTGATTATCGTGTGTTGTCTAACAAATTGGCTATTACTGTTTTTTTGATGGTAGCTTAAAACAGGGATGTAGAGAATCCGTTAAAAACACATCTACAGGTTTCTAAGCCGTGACGTTCTCCTTTGGCCTGGTTCACTTCTTCCGTCGATCTTGACTTTTATTATCAAAGGAAATATATTATAGATCTTTGAGAGACGCTTAACATGGCCAAAATATTTAAGTTTTTTTAACGTTGACCACTTCTGTAACTTCCATTTATTACAAAACCGACTGGTTAAAATTTTATCTGGTTTTTTGGGAAGCGTACCCGTTCAAATCCAACCTTCGACACCATATAAAAGAATAGAAAACATATAACATCTACTAATCTGATTTTCAGTCTCAAAGTGATACTGTTTCCACATAACCTTTTCTTTATCTTAAAAACCTATTCTACTGTACTATACTATACCTATTATAGTTTTTTTCGAATATCTTAGTTCTTATTTAAATTACAAGCAAGTTAAGCCATACCGTTGGTTTTCTCCAATTATTCTTTGTACTAGTAGCTGTTATTACTTTCGGATGTAATTTATACAATCCAATATACCCTAATGCTTCCACAAATAATCAATAAAAATCAAAACAAAACGCCGATTACTCAAAGAGTATAAATAATTCCAAGACACCCTTATCAAAACAAAATACAACTGCATTTTAGCGTCAATAATCCTGGAAGTCAACAAGCTGAAGCAAAAACACTAGAGGCAAGTTACGGCCAAGCAAGAAGGTTCAACATTATGAAAAAGAAATGGAATCATCAATATTTTACAAGATAAAGCCGAACTATTTAAAAAGTTATTCTATGGTCTTTCCTAATAACCCCAATTTTAGCGAGCGATTTAAAAAAAATACCGAAAGAAGAATGCAAGACCTATTCTACTACCCTCCAATGCACATGGGACCCCATCCTTATCCGATGGTTCCTATTGTGCTAGAGAACACCGTCAGGCATATGCATAACTTAGGTGAAAACAGATCTCCTGATGGCATTCACAGAAGATGCCTCAAAAAATTCTTTCGCTGCTAACAAACATAATCAATCAATACATGCGTCTTATTGAACTACTTTTCTACTTCTTGCAAGGTAACCAGTCATAATTGCCAAACCAAAAACCTACCAACCAACATTGAATCCTGCAGACCCATCTCTCTGCTCAGAATTCTGCTAGAATTCATAGACGCACATCTTAAAATTTTAGTTTGGATTCAAAGCTAAACACTTTACAAAAAATGCATGAATTAAAGCAGCAACCTTTACATCACAAGCCTTTAATGAAACAAATATCAAGACTTCAATATTTCTCGTATCCAGAAGACTTTAACTAGGATTTGCACATAGGCCTGATCGAAAAAACCCACCTTGCTAGCCCCTTTGTAAAAATATTTCATTCCTTTTTCTCCAATACGACCATTTGTGTCAAAGTCTTTAACATGCTATCAACACCATTAACCCCACAAGCTGGAGTGCCCCAGCGATTCAATTCTAGAACCAATATAAAACAAATAGAGAGTCAAACTAGATCCTTCCAAAACTCAAATAATTTTATTCAAATACCTTCTCAGCCGCGATACTGCGAGGAACCAAGTAACCATTCTATAAGAAAATCTCGATTAGAAAGTCGGTATCCTAGTTGGTAGTTTATTTTAACAGAACTCTCAACTAATACATTGACATTAAAAATTGATAGAGTAAGAAAAAGAGCTAGACTCCTGGGCAAGCTGTCTGGAAAAACTCGGAAATACCTCTACTAAAACTCTCTTTTAGACCAACAAGACTTTCATCAGGCCCATCATCAAATACAAGAGTGTCTATGTGTCACTAAATTCTCGCCAAACCAACGATATTGTGGTACCTAACAGAAAGGAAAATCCTCAAAAAGTGTATGAGGAAATGTGTAGATAATCCGTCAACACTAATTTACCAAATTGCGAATACACCATCAATAAAGGATGGAGTACACTCCCTCTAAGCAAATTCTAAGGACTCCATGTCGCCGCGGAGGGCAAATACTCACCAGGCTTCTCCCAAATAAAAGTTACATTCCCTCCAGCCATGCTTCTACACTTTGCTGGTATCAAAGTTGATTAGTATTGCGACATCCTCGAAGTAACCTCCGTCAAATATCGCTGGTAAACTAACTGCACGCCAAAAACGATCATTTAGAGCCGTTAATAGTATGGCTGGTAAAACCGGAGGAACCTTCTGCTTAGGGTTTACCTCGCTAGTTTATATTCTCCCTCACAGCGCTCGATTTCCACATCACAATCATTAAAGCGTCCGTTCTATAGCCGCATACTACCTTAAAAAATACTCACTCGCAAAAGTTCGCCAAAGTTCCTCGCCTCCCTCAAAAGCTCCCGCACAATAGGGAACAGTCCATACTTGAAGAAGCGTAAGCTTAAACAAGGCATTAACGCTCAGATTATTTATTGTTTGTTAGGTTTTCATTTAAGGGAAGATGCTATACTGGCGTTGTATTACTTTTGCTGAGATGAGAGTCACGGAACTAGCGCCAAGAGGATAAAGCGTCACAAGTTCGTCAGAAAATAGCGGTTCTTCACATCAATTCAATAGTCTTGATTAATTAGTGTCTAGTTAGTATATATTTATTCTAAGAGGATTAAAATTAAAACTGCAAGAAAAATAACTAACAACAACAAAACTGTAACAAAATACAGACATTAAATGAGAAGTAAAGAGTTAAAACACGATATATTAATAAAAGAGTCGATTTTTAATGATTGTCAAAATTTAGAACTAATAAATGTCATCCATTAATTAGCAATATTAACACTAGAAAGTCGGAGGGGCCAATTGGCCCCTCCTGTTGCGATTTGAAGTTATTGTAGTTCTTTTATTTGACACAATAATAATTACATATTTTATGACTTTTAATATTTTGATACAAAGTCTTATTTAATGCAAAAAATATTGTTTACTAAATTTATTAAATGGATTTTCTAACAAACATACCATAGAAGTCTGAAGGGGCCAAACTGGCCCTGTATTAATTATTATCGTTGTCTCGCAAATTTGACGATTTCTTTTAACTTTTTGTCGGATAGATAAAATTATGTTTATGTACGTTTATTCCTAGAAGGTATTTTGTTACATACTGTTTGTTCCTTGAAAGTAGTTTGTTTATTGAGCGGTTTATTAGGTTCTGCTGACTTTCGTTTCTGGAATATTGAAACATTCGTTCAATTGTGAAAATTCAAGACGACTGTAAAGATGTCTCGTCGTGGACTATCAGAGCTTGAACTTCTTGAAGAAATACGAAAAATACAAAATGTTTTGGGAGGTGAATCTGAATTTGCAGAAAATAATGAGTCAGACGATGAACAATACGTACCACCACAAAATAATGATTCAAGTGACTCTGATGCTTCAGAGCAGTTAGAAAGTTTTATTGTACAAGACTCACCAATTTATGTTTACACTGCTTCTTCAACTCAACAGCACGAGTCAGCTAATTTTATCGTGAATCCAAGTGCATCTAAGCCAAGTCACAAGAGAAAAAGAGGTCAACAAGGAAAAACTATTTCAATGGGAGACACCGAACAATCGAAAGACGGAACAACGTGGAAAGTTATTGATTCTGGATTAGCACCTGGTAAGATTATGATTTTTAGTATCTTCATATTCATTGACAGTTTGCTCATTACAGGACGCCGTGCTCAGTACAACATTTATCGAGAGGAATCAGGTCCTACGTCGTATGCCAAAAGAAACGTGAGGAACAATTTGTGTGGTAAGTGCTTGGAATGTAATAATCAACGACAGCATGTTACGTCATATAAAAGAATGCACTATTGCAGAAGCACATCAATGTTTGAAAAATGACACATGGACTATAACTTTGGAAGAACTGGAGGCTGCCCTTGCTATTATGTACGCAAGAGGAGTCTAAGGCGCCAAAAATTGCCCAACTAACAGCTTGTGGTTAACAGTATGGGGTCCTCAGTTTTTTAGGCAAATTATGCCATCTCAGATTTGACATAAATCAAATGAGATCTAAATGATTGAAAACCGACAAATTTGCTCTAGCCTCTGCGGTTTGGAATGGATTTATAGAAAATATTGGTGCATGTTACAAACCGGAAATAAACCTTACTGTGGACGAACAACTACTGCCTTCTAAAGCCAGGTGTCCGTTCACACAGTACATATCAAATACGCCGGATAAGTTTGGCATAACATTTTGCTGCATACCAAGGAAAGAGTCACAAAAATGTGCTTTTGTTGAGCTCATTACATCAATCAGTGGATGTTGCTGTCGATGGAAAAAAACTTCCTCAAACAGTAAGTTTTTATAGTAAAACAAAATACGGGGTTGATGTAGTGAACCAAATGGCTCGTCTTTATACTACAAAAGTTGCTTCAAGACGATGGTTTATTCTTCAGCTGTATGAAGAATTACGGGCTTTATACCTTGCCTCCCGAAATCTGGTACTATACCCAGCACGACCGGATTTACCAACCACCAACACTGTTACTAGCCAAAAAAGAAAAAAATGTCAGTTTAAAATGTTTTTTAAAGGAAATCATACTTCCAATGAGTGCTACGGCTGTAACAAGGCAATGTGTGGCAAATGCCAAAAACTGCAAACTGTATGGTGTTCCAAATGTTTAAAATGAAATTAAGAAATTAAATCAAATTCTATCGTCAAGAGTTTATATAATTCCTTAAAACTGTTTATTTTTATTTTTTGTTTATTCCAAATAAATAGTTAATTCTAAACTTGGTTGTTATTGATTTAGGAACTTGGGGCCAAAATGATCCCTTCGGGCTTTCTAGGTAGGTATGCTAAGCCCGACTTTCTAGTGGTAAGACATCTTTTAAAAATTTTTATGAGACTTCTCTTTATTAAATAATTGCATATAAATATAATTATTATTTTTAAACATCGTATTTAGTTTATATAATAGTTTATATATATATTGATAATTTCGTCTGAATTCGACAGGTCGGTCAGGAGTAAACAACGTATGCTTTGTTAATACGTTAGCAGTTGGCGTTAGGAGCAAGCATAATAATTTCTTGAAATATTTGAAAATATAATTTGTTTACAATATAAATTAAAAAAAACAAATAATAAAGTGTCCTGCCTTATTATGTTTCTATGATCTTGTCCATTGCTAAGCTAAAGACTCGTAAACTCGACTTATATTCTTTTTTTCTTCTTTTATTGTCTTTACTATTTTTATGATTCTGTTTTCATTTTTTTTTTTGATATCGTCTAATATAACGCTGTCAAAGGTTTTAGACAGATCTACAAAATACATTGTTTTGTTATATTCCAATTATGTAATTTGTTTGACTAGAACTATAGCATCTATAGTTGATATTATATTTTTTTGAAAACCTTGTTGATCTTTAAGGATTATACTATTATTATTAAGCTTGTTGGCAAATATTCTGATTACTAGTTTAAGTTGTGCTAGATCAAGTCTATTTAAATATTTAACGGATTTTTTAGTGCTTTACAACAGTCAGAATTAAGTAGTGTGTATTATGTCAAATGTAAAATTGTATTTGTAATAATCTTATATTGTACTACACTGTCATCGTGCAATTATCAAAATATAAAAGTTTTAATCAGCGGTTTTTGTCTTGAACAAATAACTAAAATGTTTATATTTATACTTACAAATATTATAAAATTGACGATGAACAAACTGTATTTTATAAAATTGCCGCAACCATCCAACTTCGATCCCCAACCCATTTTGATTCTGAAACAGAAATAATTTAAAAAATATTAATAAAGTAATATTTCTTTATAGTTTTATTAAGACTTATTAACTAGAAAAAATTTATTATGCAGGTCGCCAATACTATGTCAAGGATGATTGAAATTGCTAAAAAGTACTTAATCAGTTAAAAAGTTTAAAAAGATTTTGTTGCAATAAAAATGTATTACAAATTAGGTATGTGAACTTGATTTACCATGGTCAACAATTGATAAGGTTCAAAGTAATAATTTTCGCCAGAAATAGTCGAATTTTGTAAAAATTTATTATAATTAAAATAATATTAATACCCAGAATTTGTTATCAATTTTAAATGTAGTAAAATAACTTTTTTCTTTAAACGTCAAATAATGACGGCATTACTTATCAACTTGATCCTGTCAAAGTTTGATGTCTCTGCCGGCAGCAGTTTTTTTCCCATTTCTTTACGGCGGAGGGAAAAATGTTGTCATGGCAACAATATGAAACATGTCACAAAGCAACAATACAAATGTCATTAACAACAATTAAACATCAGTTTTATTTATAGTAATATTAAAAGTACAATTAGTTAATGAGGCACTTTTAAAATTGAAACCGTGCAAAAATGTTCCTGACTCTTGATACGCATTGGTAATTGTTGATGATACTGATGGTCGAGAACAACTTTCAGCATTCATTCCCGATGTTGGCGAATCAAGAGGGTTTAAGATTTTTTGAGCATTATCGTTCTTATTTCTTATTGAATCCTCTATTATATCCTTCTGCAACCGTGCTTGATTTCCAGCCCCCATGTCGTTTGAGGCATTCTAGATTTCCGCCTCCATCAATTAAAAGTGCTGCTGAAGTTCGTCGTAAAGAGTGACCTGTGTATGCGCTTGCATCGTTTAAATTTAAATAACTAGCTACGTTTTGGGCTACTGCGCTGATCGAATGTATTCCCATGACGCTTCGGTAACACTTTCCATTTTGGTACTTGATAAAAAATCGGTTTTTTGTGAAATTTTCAGGCCGCAGTGATGATTACTTTTTATACAGTTTAATGTAGTTTTGACCAATTATCGTAAAAGATCTAATTTGTCGTGTTTTACTGTCTGGAATTTTGATAATTATTACATTTTCTTTATCATCAATGTCCACAGTCTTCATTTTTACCATTTCATCGCATCGACAGGCGCCGGTAACCCCAATTAACAAAACAATCTGAAATATTTTTATAATTTAGTAGAGTATACTACATTTTTTGCAATATAATTTTTTTTACCGTTAATCCTAACTACAACTTATCTGGCGCTTCAAACAAAAATTTTTTAAACTCGTCTTTAGTGAAAACTTTAGACTTCTTTGCAGTATATCCTTCGCTTGTTTTTTTCAGAAAGGCACGTAACTTTAAAAATTTGCTTATATCCACATTTTTCTAATAACTAACTCGGATTTTATCATAGAGTATGGTGACCACATCGTAGAAGATTTCCATTAATTTTCATTTTCCATTATATTAAAATATGCCAGTAAAACGTCTTCGGTAACTTGCGGTACTCCTCTTGTATTGACCACTCTTGGAAGTGTTTGTACGCTAACCGATACTTTATTCCGGACTTGGAGGGCCCCAAACGTGCTACTGCATCATTATCCGCGGACTCAATTTCGTTTAGGTTTTCCACTTTCGCACTAAATTTGCGCTTGCGGTTGCAACAACAATAAGCTGTCTTTAATAATTGCAAACAACTGTCAAACAACTCTAACCAGGGAAACGCAAATCCCACCGACGACTTAATTATTTTAATTTCTAACATCTAGACTACTTTGATAGTGGTCACAGTTAATTTCGAGTAAAAATAGCGTATGAATTGTACTATTTATGGTTGAAAATTGCTACGTTTGAAGAAAAAATATTATACTTTATTCGGCAAAGAAGCGACTTTTCTTGACTTGCCCTCTATTACGCGCCCCACTTCGTTCGGCGCGTAATATCGGGCGCGTCAAGAAAAGTCATGTTTCTCAGCCTCATAAAGTAATATACTATTGTTATTGTGGCCATCCGTTTTTTTTTACTATGGTCGCAAAAATTTTAATATTAAAGTTGTTTATTTTCATTTGATAATAACACAGTTTGGGTTTAGTTGTTTTAAATAGTATAATATTTTTATACATTGAGATATTGTCCAAATACAACATATTGTGAGGTGGATCAACGAAGGGTTTACGGAACGTGAAGCTGCTCAACGTTTGCGGTTTTTACAAAGTGTTGAAAATAGAGCTTGGAATCGTTATGTCACAAAAATGATGTAGCCTCATATCTTGATTGTGGAGGGCAACAATGGAGTACCAACCCTGTTGATGACCGATATATGCGAATTATTGCTAGACGGATCCCAACATATACTGCTTCTCTCATCAACAGAACATTGCCTAACTACACTAAAAGAATAATTAAAAAAAATCGTTAAAACAAGATTGAGAGAACAAGGTTAAGAGCAAGAAGACGTCTATCTAATCCAGTACTAATCAGGTAACACCGCGGATTGAGAAGATTTTGGGCTGAACAATACCAATGAATGAAGAAACTGTTAATTTGCAGAAGAATCTAGAATCTGGATTTTGTATAAACAATTCCGTTGGTGGTATTTTGATTTGGAGTAAATGAGAAGAGAGGTATATAGGGTGCCTACAACTGCTTTTGGGGGCGGCTCTATTCGCGTTGGAAGTGGTATTTGTTTTATAGCCGCAATAATTTAGTGGTACTGACAGATTTTAACGGTATGTTTGTCTAGTAGCCCACAGTGTTAATATGACAAACCACAATGTTCGTGAATTACATAAATAAATCAATTTATGGAACAATGGACTAGCTTTCGTTGAGACGTAATATTGCTATATTACTTATTTCTTATCCGAAATAAAAGGAATCAGTTTACCAAATAAACTAGTTTTCCAAAAATAAGTATAATATTCATCATTTATATAGATCATTTGGTTATGCCTTAGGCCGCTTTTATGTGTCTTATCGTGTGGCGAACAAAAACGTTGGTTTTGTATAATGAAACAAAATTGAACGTATCTTCATAGTCATAATCATAGTCATAGTCATAGTATTTCTTCTAGTCATACCTGTCCAATGTCTCAAATTCTTAAGCCAGGATATTCGGCGGCGTCCTGGTCCTCCATTTTCTTATATTTTCCTTTCTAGTATCAATAGGAGGATTCTGTATTTATTTTCATTTCTCACTATATGTCCGAAGTATACCACATCTCGAAAGACTGCAACCGTCTGCAAGACGTATCAGTGAGAGTTATTCTCCTTATATGTCCAAAATATCTCAGTATATTTTGGTTGATAGTTGCGATGAGTCTAGTGATGATCTAAGCTGAATACTTAATAAATCCAAAAGCCATTTTCTGATTCTGAGATAGTGAACGAATGTATGGTGGCAGTTGCTAACTCACTGTTTGAAGAAAAAAAAGATGTTACCTCAGAATTCAAATCATCTCAGTGTCAGCGCGAAGTAATACACAAATAGCCTACCTTGCTACGCCATAGCACTTGTCGAATCATGTGACATTGTTGGTGATGAACAAATGTCTGTTTTTGTAAGATTTCTTGATATTGAGTGTCAAATTCTTAGGAAATAGTTGCTAGCATTATTGCCGCTGAAAGGTAACACTCGAAGAGAAGATTTATTCAAGGTTATTGATTAATTAATTTCTAAATCTAACGTCAGTTATAATTAGGTAAATGATTTCGCTCTCTACTGATGGGGCCCCAGCAATGATTGGCAAAAGAAAAACGTGTAGTAAATAGGATTAGGGAAAAAAATTTAAATTTAATAATATATCAGTGCACAATACACCAGGTAGCTCTTTCTGGAAAACTTAGTGCTAGACTTAAAGAAGTCATAGAGAGTTTAGTGAAGCTAATTAATTTTATGAAATTTGATTCTGCTCTTCAGTACCGACATTTCAAGAAGTTTCTTTCTTAATGTGATTCAGCATATCCTAACTTACTATAACACAATAATGCTCGTTGTTTAAGTGCAGGTCACGTTTATTGAACGTTTTGGCTAATAAAAAAACATGAGATCTCCTTCTTACGAAATGTATGTATATACGCAGGGAGCCAGGTCATATTTTGAGTATATAACAAATAGGCGCAACATGCTGGTTGTGGCTTTTCTAAAAGATATTTTAAAATATTTAAATGCGTTTAACACAGAGTTGCAAGAAAATAGAAAATTGGTATGTGATCTGATACAAAGCGTGTCTACTTTTTGTCCGTAAGCTGGATAATCTTTAAAAAAGATATTGCACAACAAAAATTCATTAATTTTTAACTATTTTTGAATATAATAAAAATAAGGAGTACTCCGAAGAAGACATTGCAGTGTTCGTAAAATTTCTGGGCGATCTTAGGAATAAATTTGCTTCAAGATTCCAAGACTTTGTACATGTAAGCAAACTATTTTTATTTCTAAAATCACCATTAAACTTGATGCAGCGGCAGGGACAGATGTGTCTGCTAAGCTGTTTAATCTATCAAAAGCATTACTTCAAATGGAGATTATTAAATTACAAGAAGATTTGTCCTTGCACGTTTATAAATTCGTATCCGCCGAAGAATTTTGGGCCAAACATGTGCCAGCAAAATATGAAAATTGCTGACAACTTGCAATCAATTTGGTCACTATGTTTAACTCAACGTATGTGTGCAAAACGTCTTTCTCAAAAATAAATTTTTTGAAAAAACAAATATCGCTTCCGATTAACGCTCGCCCACCTAGAAGATACACTTCAAATTTGTTGTTCGACTCGAGAACCAGACTACAAACCACTAGCTTAAGACCGTCGGTCCAATTTTTCGCATTAATTTAAGGTCTTTTGATTTGTTATTAGAAATGTACCAAAATAATACGCATCTTGTCATTAAATGTTATCATTTGTTTTTTTTTTCTGGACCTTGTTCAAATTTTCTTCTAGTATCCGGACCCCACATAAAATTACTTGCC